CATGCAGAAGGAAACACCAAATGTCAGTGTACCTTTCAATCCTGTATCTCAGAACGAGACTTCTCCCTTCCATACTTTTGCACATGCTGCCTATTTAATTCATTCTTCCTTCACCCTATCCCTCTGGAGATATCCCTGCACACTCCTACGCATCCTTCAAAATACAACTCAAATGTTCCTTTTGTTTTTTGGGTTTGCTTTTTTTTTTAGGCTTTATTTATTTATTCATGAGAGACACAGAGAGAGAGGCAGAGACATAAGCAGAGGGAGAAGCAGGCTCCCTGCAGGGAGCCTGATGCAGAACTCAATCCCAGATTACGGGATGACACCCGGAGCTGAGGGCAGACACCCAACTGCTGAACCACCCAGGTGTCCCTCAAATGTTCCTTTTGAAGCCTTTCTAACCAAATCCTGTTTCCCTCTCACAACCTTTTTTCTTAGTGCTTTCTGGCTGACCTCAAAGCTTTTATTCCTGCCCCTTCAAACCTGATTTCTTTATAAAACACAAGATGTGGGGCACCCAGGTGGCTCAGTCAGTTAAGTGTCTGCCTTTGGCTCAGGTCATGATCCCAGGGGTCCTGGGATCAAGCCCTGCATCGGGCTCTCTGATCAGTGGGGAGCCTGCTTCTCCCTCTGCCTCTGCCTGCTGCTCCTCCTATTTTTGTGCTCTCTCTTCTTCTGTCAAATAAATAAATAAAATCTTAAGAAGATAATTTTAGGGCAGCCCAGGTGGCTTAGCGGTTTAGCGCCGCCTTCAGCCCAGGGCCTGATCCTAGAAACCCGCAATCACAGTCCCACATCAGGTTCCCTACACGGAGCCTGCTCTCCCTCTGCCTTTGTCTCTGCCTCAGTGTGCGTGTCTCTCATGAATAAATAAATAAAATCTTTTTAAAAAATTGTTTTAATAAAATTAAAAAATAAAATACTAGATGTCTCTCCCCATGGAAACTGCCACTAAGTCCCCATTACCTGAAACAGTTCTCAAAGCTAAACAAGCATCAGAGTCATCTAGAGGGCTTTTTAAAACACCGGGCTGCTGGGCTCCACCAAGAGCTTCCAATTCAGCAGATCTGTCTGGGCTGGGACCTACACCTGGCATTTTTCACAGGGGCTGCTGCCACTGGTCTGAGGGCAGTACTTGGAGAACCACTGATCCAAAAAGTTAAGTGCAAACTCTTCACCTTGGCATCTGGAGGTCCTGCACACAATATGTCCTCCAATCACTTACCGCCCTCCTCCTTCCACAGGCTGCCCTGATCCGAGACTACCCATCATCCAAATGCCACAACTTTCATGCCTCCACACCACTGCCCGTGCTGCTCCTTCTGCTGAAGACCCTTTCCCTGTCATCCACTTAATTCTAGCACCTTCTGCCTTGATTTCACACTGTCTAAAACTCAAATCCTCAAGAATGAGGACATGGTACCATCAAGGGTCTACAAAACAACAAATGTAGGGGGTAGGGACAGTTACAGAAGAGGAGGATAAGAAATAGTTTTGGCCACACTGCAGACCCTGGTAACAAAGTCCTAGCCTAAAGGCGACTTTGTGTCAGAACATTCTCACATATCTATTTAAACAACCTCATGATGGTCACAGCCCAGTTACACACTGTCCTTCTGTTTTCCAACTCTGCACTTTCTAGCTGCGGCCTTGGGTGGGAACTTGTTAACCTCTTTGTTGCTCATTTTCATCTGTAAGATGGGGGAAAAGGAACTACCCCACAGAATGAAAAGTAAATGATATAATCCTAGTAAAACGCAACAGCCAAAGGCCTTGCACAGAGTAAGCTCTAGGTGAACGTTACCTGTGGATCCTATTATCTTCGGACCTGGGAAAGTCATGAACTTGGTACCTGGCCACAATCAATAATGAAGACAGACATATAAAAGATGTTTTTCTTAATGAGTACATAATCAGCAGTCCAATAAAGATTGTGTGGATAGACAGGAGGATGGATGGACAGATAAACAGATGAATGCTGGGTGGGTGTGATAGGTGGGCAGGTAGATGGGAAAACTTTATATAAGACGAAAAGTGGCTCTGTGAGGCTGGCTGAGCGACGCTTAAAATGCTTAAAAATTTTCTCACAAAGGTTCACAGACAAGCACACAAAAATGCAAAGAGGCCCATCACAACTTTGCTTATAACAGAAAAAAAAAAAGCAGTGTAAATGCCCAACAACAGAAAGTCACGTGGTCAGAAGATGCAATTCTACAAATATGAAAATGCAAGTGTTTCCCCACTGACATGAAAGTTGTTCTTGGGGCACCTGGGTGGCTCAGTGGTTGAGCACCTGCCTTCAGCTCAGGTCATGATCAGGGGTCCTGGGATCGAGTCCTGAATCAGGCTCTCCCAGGAAGCCTGCTCCTCCCTCTGCCTATGTCTCTGCCTCTCTTTGTGTGTCTCCCATAAATAAATAAATAAAATCTTTTTTTTAAAAAAAAAAAGGTTGCTCTTAATAGACCTTAAATAAATAGGGCATCTGGCTGGTTCAGTTGGTAGAGCATGCAACTCTTAATCTCAGAGTGGTGAGTCCAAGTCCCAAGATGGGTGTAGAGATTACTTAAAAAAAAAAATAGACTTGAAATAAAAAGAGGTAAAAGGTAAAGTAGTAAGCATGGTATCAATCCTTTTTTTTTAAGATTTTATTTATTTATTCATGAGAGACAGAGAGAGAGAGAGGGGAAGAGACACAGAGACACGGGCAGAAGGAGAAGCAATAGGCTCCATGCAGGGAACCCGACGTGGGACTCAATCTCGGGCCTCCAGGATCACACCCTGGGCTAAAGGTGGCACTAATGAGCACTGGGTGTTATTCTGTATGTTGGTATATTGAACACCAATAAAAATTAATTTATTAAAAAAAAAAAAAAGTAAAGGTGGCACTAAACCACTGAGCCACCCGGGCTGCCCTCAATCCTCCTTTTTTTTAAAAAGCCTGTGGATATGGGTATGTATGTGTATGTATTTTTAAAAACCTAGGAAAAATATGTTCTAAATGTTATTAGTGGCTATCTGGTACAAAAACTCTAATGGTTTTAATCTTTTTTTTTTTCCTCTTGTTTTTCTGTATGCTCTCATTTTTCTCTGGTAACTATAGATGTAATATTTAATTTCTTAAAAGAAAGAACTTTTTTAAAAGCAGCTCCACGAATCAGGACAGAGGAAACACGTAGGCACAGGTGTGTGACTATGAGCAAGCGGGTGTGCCTTCTCTATGCCTGTGTCTTCATCCTGTTCACCACCTCCTGAGGCACCTGGGGATGGTGGGTGAGGAAGGGTTTTGGTATCGGCAGCTAGCAATCAAGTAATGATGGTTTTATCCCCCCAGTGACATCCAGGAGGTTCCCCAAGGAGATACTCTGAGAGGCAAAAGAAAGTTGGCTTCTATCCAGAATTGAGTGTCAGTGGACAGAGCTCTGGGCAGGGCTAGGGAGGCCACATTCTCACTCCCCTCACACCCTGGCTTCCTTTACTTCTGTGAAATGAAAGGGATAAACTGACAGTGGTTTCTAAACTCTCCTGTAGATTTCTTAAACAGCAGGATTCTTTACTCAAATGAAACACAGATTTCCCCCCGTCCAGTGTCAGTAGTCTGTTCCTAAAAAGCAGGCATCCTGTGAAGAAAAAAAAAAAAAAAAACCTGGGGTCTATTTCCTCGTATTTTTTTTTAAGATTTTATTTATTTATTCATGAGAGATACAGACAGAAATGCAGAAACATAGGCAGAGGGAGAAGCAGGCTCCCTACAGGGAGCCCAATGTGGGACTCGATCCCAGGACCCTGGGATCATGCCCTGAACCGAAGGCAGACACTCAACCACTGAGCCACCCCGGTGCTTCCTCTTCTTTTAAATGAGAAAGATGATCACGTACTACTTATCAACACCAAACTTCCATTAATTTCCTAAAATGTAACTCTGTACACATAATAAACTAGCATGGTAGGAAGTCGAATGCTGAAAACATCCCCTGCTGACCACCAAATCACAGTTAACCTTGCTGTGTGCGGCATGCGGACCCGTGCCCGGGCCAGCTCGCTCTCCCAGCTCCAGCACCACTGGAGGCGCCCAGCCCTGCCGCCCCGCAGCTGCCTCTGCAAAACATCTACATGTGATTCTCAGTCTCCCAAGAGCATCTAGAATTCACAGGAGACTCTTCCTGCACATGATTTTGTGACAAATGTGGTACTGAGTTTTAGGGACATAAGTATGTTGCTTTACATATAAAAAGAAAACCACTTGCTGAAAAATAGTTTGAAGAAACACGTATGTTCTAGGCGGTCTGGGTTTTATCAACTAAGAGGCTTTCATCCTAGAAGAGCGTCCATCCACGGGACAGGCATTCTACACAGCAGACACATCCTATGAAAACCAGGGGCGCTGCGGAAATTCTCTAGACCAGCTGGGGGGTGATGCTGGGTTTGGAAGGTGGGGCTTGAAGCAGCATCTGCACTACGCACATCAAACTAAGGCTGCTGATGGAGAATGTTTAGTGCTGCACTGAAAATAATCCCCACGTAGCAGCCAAAGCAGTGGTATAGTAACGATGCCACTGTTACAAATAATAAAACAGCCAACGGTCACCAAACTCTTAAACCTGCCAGGTACACACCTCTAAGTGCTGATCATGAATTTATTTATTTAATCCCTGTAATAACCACACGAACTATGTTCTATTATTACCCCCATCCTACAGTTGGAAAAACCGAGGCAGTGAGGTTAAGAATACACCTAGGGTTCTCCAACTTGTAAGTGGCAGCTCTGGGATTTGAGGCCCGGCAGGAGAACTTTAGAATTCCTTCCTCCTCCAAACCACTGCCCCTACCTGCAAAAGTGGGGAGGCTCTGTAGAAAGGAAGGATGGGGGGGGCAGGGCCCCCTACTTCACCTTTTCCTCCCAAAGCAAACACTAAGGAAGAGCTGAGGACCTCTGAACCAGGCTAGCTCCAGTCTACCGGGCCACAAGGACCAAGAGGGGGCAGGCAGGTGGCTCTTACCCACAGCTTCCCGTCGTAGTAGTAGGCTCCCAGGAGCTTCACAATGTAGGGGTGGTCACAGGTGGCCAGGATGTCGATCTCTACCGTGTAATCCTCCAGCTCCTCCTCACTCTTGGTCTCTATGACCTTGGCGGCAGCCAAAGCACCTGTCTCCTTGTTCTTGGCCTGCAAAGTGGAGACAAAGAAGGTCAACGAGGCCTGCCTGGCAGGAAACTGGAAGCCAGCTTGGAGAGGCCCGTGAGAATGCCAACACAGCCCAGAGGTCCGGATGGGGACCACAAGGCCAAAGAGGAGATCCGCTGTTCTTACCAATGGCCAGTGCTGCTCAGCATGTCAGTGCAGGGGGCATGTGTGAGAAAATAGTGTTCAGCATTTCCTAATAATCATGTTTTTTAACATGATCCCATACTACGGGATGAGTAAAAATACAAGAATAGCATAGCTCTACAAACACCATGGAAAGACTGCTCAGTAAGAGATCCAAGTCACTGAACAATAAAGTGGTGGGATACTTATTTCTATAAAAAATGGAAAATTAAAAAAAAATGGAAAACTGCTTTCATAAATGCTCACGACTACATGTAAATGCATAGAAAACTCTGGAAACATGCTGCCTGATAGCAGGCTACGAAGGCACCTAAAATGGGGAGAGATAGGGCTCTTTGCATATTGTTTAAAAACACTAATAGGAAAGTTTCATACATTTATTTGCATCATTTCCCATACATTAAAAGTAAAATGAACAAGGGCTTTAAGTACCCAGCAACTGCAGCAGAAGGGTGCATTCTTGATGCATTTCACCAGTATAACAAGTTTATTTGATGAAAAAGAGGGAGAGAGGGATCCCTGAATGGCTCAGTGGTTTAGCGCCTGCCTTTGGTCCAGGGCGTGATCCTGGAGTCCCGGGATCAAGTCCCACATCAGGCTCCTGCATGGAGCCTGCTTCTCCCTCTGCCTGTGTCTCTGCCCCCCCCCCTCTCTCTCTTTCATGAATAAATAAATCAGTAAAATAAAAATAAAAATAAAAGAACGGAAAGCAAGGATTTGAGAAGGTATCTGTCCATCCATGTTTATGGGAGCACTATCCACAAAAGCCAAAAGGTGTGAACAAGCCAGATCTCCACTCACGGGTGAATGGAGAAACAAGTGGTAAAATTCAATGGACTATTAACTCAGCCTTAAAAAGGAAGGGAGGGATACCTGAGTGGCTCAGTGGTTGAGCAACTGCCTTCAGCTCAGGTCGTGATCCCTGGGTCCTGGGATCGAGTCCTGCATCAAACTCCTGTCAGGGAGCATGCTTCTCCCCCTGCCTCTGTCTCTGCCTCTCTTTGTGTCTTTCATGAATAAATAAAATCTTTAAAAAAAATCATCAGTTTTATGTTATGCATATTTTACCACAATTTTAAGAACTGAGAGCAAGAGAAAAATAACCACATAAGTGGGTACAAGCAACTCCAGCCACGAGCAGCTGGTGTCCAGGAAAAGGGAGGAGAACCCACAAGCCCTGTGGGCCTCAAGGGCAGCTGCTGGGAGCATTCGCCCACTGTGCTGTGTGGGCCTTGGGTTTTCAGAGAGCACACTTGCCTACAACATGGGCCCAAAAAGCAGGCCGCTTGTCTGGAACTTTGGAATCGCAATCCATGGGAAAGCATGGGGAAAACGAGCTGCTCTGGACTTCGTAAGCAGCCCTGTTAGTGTCCACTGCAGTGCGTTCCTAAGGACAGCTTTACATGCCACTCACCACATACACCAACTCTGCAACCTGACCTACTGGAAATGGTGATGGCCCAGCTGCTTCTGCATGCCTAGAACCCCATGAAGGACAATAGGTATTCACATCACCTCATATGACACCAGTTCTGGGCATCTTAGTGCCCCCATTCTATAGGCTCGGAGAGGGGGCATGGCTGGAACTAGTGTGGTGGCACCAGAATCTGAATCTAGGTCCTCTAACTTCCAAGACACTGTGTACTTTCCACTGCTGTTACTAGGTCTCCCTATCATCTCCAGAACTCAGAAGTCTCTACCTAAGACCAGATGCCAACAGCCACCTAGGAATGCTCCCAGGCCAGCTCTGTACAAGGGCACCCTCCTCCATGCAGAGACCAAGCAGGGGCGCCTGGGAGGCCCAGTCTGTTAAGTAGAGACATAGCAACCCTGCCCCTGGCCTCAAGATGCCAGTGACTAGAAAGCATGCTTATAGGAGGAAGGGTACTGAGAAGGGGTGTCAATCCTCACCAGAGAATCTTCTGGAACGGAGTGAGGCCAGTAGCCAATTTTTACACTCATTTGTAAATTTATTCTCAGTTTAGGTAACTTTTTCTATTAACTGAGCTGCAAAGTCACCAGGCCCCTTCACAGCGACAACAATCATCTCCTACTGATCAAGGTCACTGGTCTATACTTCAACATGTGCTAACTCATTTATCTCTTCAAGCACCCTACAAGGTCGGTGCTGTTACTACCTTGTGCACAGATGAGGAGACTGAAGCAGAGTCCCCAGCAACACAGGAGACAGGGCTGGTCTGGACCCCCACCCACCCTTCCCCCACACCGCCCCTTCCACACCAGGCCCGGGAGTCCGGTGCAGGGGAGGGAATCTCACGTGGGGCCATTCCTCAGGGTCAGTCCTGGTGCTGGAACTCACCGGCTCACTCGCCCTGCCTAAGGGGGGCCTCTCCCCTATACTCGGTTTTGAAAACTTGTTGAGAACACCTGAGAGAGGGCAGCCCCAGTGGCGCAGCAGTTTAGTGCCGCCTGCGCCCGGGGCGTGATCCTGGAGACCTGGGATCGAGTCCCACGTCGGGCTCCCTGCATGGAGCCTGCTTCTCCCTCTGCCTGTGTCTCTCTGCCTCTCTTCTCTCTGCATCTCTATGAATAAATAAATTTTAAAAAAAAAAAAAAGAACACCTGAGAGAGTCATGAATCAGCCATTGGGCACTAGTGCTCTCGTGATCACTTCCTCCCTCACACAGATTATGTACCTGCCCTTTCATTTCTGGTAATGTTGATTTTCGAGTGTCCAGTGAGAGCACCATCAAAGCACCCTTACCCACTGCACAACACTCCCACTCCTCCTCCTCTCCAAACCCAGAAGAGGAGGTAAAGCCTGCTCTGCTCCTTTACTGGGTGAACACAGCACCCACCCCGACCGTGCTCTCCCGACCCCCAGCCAGAGCAGCACGCGGGGACAGAGCGAACGGGCCTAAGCCCCCCCTTAAGCATTCACCTTTCACTCCTGAGAGGTAGGAAATGAGGCTGCATGTCACCTCCTCCTGGGTTTCCCTAAAAGAGTATCTTCTCCCCAAAGTGGGGCTGTTTCCTAGGAGTTCACAAAACCAGCCTTGCCCATCCCCCTGAAAGGCAGCATTGACCACAGGGCTGGGCCTCCAGCTGGGCGCCAGTGTCAACACTGAGCAACACCCGCTGCCCAGCGCCTCACTCAGATTACAGAGCCCAGAGCTTGCCAGAAAGGGGTTAGCTGGCAGCAATCGTGGTGCCTAAGGTCAGTTGGCCAAAATCAAATTCTTTAAAAGCCTGGTTGAGGCAGCTATTTGCTTACCTGGATGTCAGAGGAAGCTATAGTGGCTGATGATAAACACAGCTAACATCACCTGAACACTCACTGTGTGCCAAGACAGGCCTTAAATAGGATTTCTCACTCCATCCTCCATCCAGCCCTTGGAGATAAGTATTAGGATTCCCAACTTACAGATGAGAAAACAGAGATTTAGGGAGACAGGCAGGGGGTAATAGGAGATCCAAATGCAAGCCCACCTTGACCTAAGCTCCAAATCTCTTCCCAACCAGCCCCTCTTGGTGAGCACTCAGGGTTCTTTGCTCCATCTCCCACTTCTTTCTTTTTTTTTTTTTATTATTTTTATTTATTTATGATAGTCACACACAGAGGGGGGGGGGGGAGAGAGAGAGAGAGAGAGAGAGAGAGAGAGAGAGAGAGGCAGAGACACAGGCAGAGGGAGAAGCAGGCTCCATACACCAGGAGCCCGACGTGGAATTCGATCCCGGGTCTCCAGGATCGCGCACTGGGCCAAAGGCAGGCGCCAAACCGCTGTGCCACCCAGGGATCCCTCCATCTCCCACTTCTAGAGATAATGAAGATCACAACCAACAATGTGCTTGACAGCTGCTAAGTACTAAACGTACCAAAATTTAATCCACCCATAAGCTAGTAAAGCAGGTGTCAGCCATCATGCCCATTTCCCAGATTAGCAGACTGAGGCTCCAAGTGATATGAGGACCCACCCAGGACTGTGAGCTGTGGTGGTCTCCTGACCCCTGAGTCCAGTGTTCTCCTCACTACACTAGGCTGCCAGGAATCAGCTCATTCCCTATCCATTCATTCAACCAGTATTCACTGAGTTCATGTAACAGGTGAGGCACTTGTCCAGTGAACAAGACAGCTTCTGCCTAGAAGGAGCACTGGTGGTGGGAATCATTGCCCTCCCATGACAAAATTCACCTTTCCTGATTTTTCTTCAGTGAACCCGCGCTCATTCCCAGTCTCTAAAATGCAATGGAGCAGATTCCACCTCCATTCTAGAAGTAGGTGGGTGACTCGAACGGGTTAATTAGAACATGACTGGCTCAGAAAGAAGAATGTGATCATGCTAGCCAATGAGATCCAAGCTCAGAACAGCAGCAGAGCAGCCTGAGGCTGCCCCAACCCTGCTTTATGCTAGCCTCCAGCACTGAGGCAGCAGGCCTGGAGCTGCTGGGACATGTGCTTACAAGCAGAGCTGGAAAATGAAACTGGCTAAAGCCACGGAGCCTAAAAAGGGCACAAGAGGACACTGTTTGATCCCCTCAATTAATTTTTATACCAGGGAAGTACTATTAAGAGCCTCATTTTATATATAAGAAAACTGATGCTCAGAAAGGTGAAGTCATTTGCTCAAGGACACACAACAGGTCAATAACATGGCTGGGAGTTGAATTCAGGCTTATGTGGCTTCAGGGTCCATGTGCTCACCTCTCTGCCCAAGGTCAAATTCTTCAAAGATGCTGTCTGGGCCTCAGTTTCCCCCTCGTACAGTAGAAGGATGGGGACATGATGCCCAAGCTCCCTCCATGGTCAGATGAGAGGGCATCTTGGGGAGTGGGTGGGTCTGGAAAACTAAGGGTGACCCTAGTGGACGGGGTACCTG